AAAATGAGCTAATTCCAGGAACCCAAGCAGAAAGCGAATTTTGAGAAAGATGAGGGCAACAAATGTATAAGTGTGCTTTACACAATTGATGTATGTTTTGTGATGAATTGTATGAGCCCCAATAAAATGATTTAAAGAAAATAACAAGAGCTAGGTCAGTCACACTTAAGCCTTCAAAGTTCATAACATCTTTACTTTTCAACCCTCTAAAGAAGTCTTGTGCAGCAGATTTCCCCGCAATGCAACATTTGATCTCTTGACTGCTGCTTCCATAAGCATTGGCTATGGATCCAAGCAAGACCATATCTTTGACAACTTCAATCTTTTCTCCATTTATCATGATGTTACCTATTGATCCAGTTATAAGGATTGTGGTCTTCTTTACATTGGGTTGTAAGCCACACTGAAGGCAGCAATCTTTGATCTTCATCAGCAAGTGCTTCAAATCCTCTTCACTTTGAGCAAGCCAGGTTGTGTCATCTGCATATCACATATGCTTACTCTAATCACTAGAAAATGTGTCTAGGTTTATTGTTCTGCACAATAGTTCAACATAATCTGAAAGAGGAAGAAACATTGAGTCAAAATACAAAAGATAAAACAGCTGTTAACGCAGAGACTAGTAGTGCGTTTCCTAATCAGTCCCAGAGTTGAGGAGGCTCTTGGCTCTGTTTACGGGGCTCTAATCCTCTTTGGGATGCAAAAGAGAAGCAGTGTGGACAGACTCATAGCTTCTGCATCCAAGGGTCTAAATTCTGATCTCACTTCTGACCCAAACGAGCTGTGTGATCGTAGACAAGGTCCTTTCCTCTCTCTGTGCCTCAGTTTCCTCCTCTGTAAAATGGGAGAGCTAGGGAAGGGAGTGGCTCTAAGGAGCTCCAAAGTCCCTTCCAATTCTGACACACTGCATTTCTTTCACTGACATGTAGGACTGACTGTGCTACATGAAACGCCACACCATTGACTTCCACACTTCCCGCATTTGATAGGCCCACCACCTAGATGAGCATGCCTAGCCCGGCAGAATTCAAGAAGAATTGAGAGACCTCTGGTACAGACAACGTTCACACAGAAACTCATGGACCTGGCCTCTCAACTCTCCATTTTCTGGCCCTGACACTCCACAGCCAGAACTCTTGTCTCCTCAAGTTAGACATTACTTTGCCTCAGAATACTGAAAGAAAGCTCAATAAATTTTGGGCAGGCAAAATAGTCACACTCACTCTTCCTCTTTCAGTGCCCACTTTTCTCCTTCATCTCCTAGTGACCTTGAGGAGAGAGTAGACCTGCCCCCAGTTTCCAAGGCTGTAATCTTTACAGATGCTGACTTCCACATCTTTCCCACGGAGCAGCTGGTGGGTTCAGTTAGCAGCTAATGGCTTAACCACTGCACCACAGGATTTCTGTCATCAGGAGCCCTGGTGGTGGTGTGGGATAATGGTTGGGCTGCCAACCTCAAGGTCAGAAATTCAAACCCCAGGAGCTGCTTTGTGGGAGAAAAATGAGGCTGTATGCTCCTGTAAAGACTTATAATCTTGGAAACCCACTATAGGGTGTCTATGAATTGCC